ACAATCTTAATCATTTGTCCCTTTACCATGAGATTTATCAAGGTACTAACTCTACTAATTGATAAGGGATTGAGGAAAATTAACTCTAGTAAATGTTAGCAATGAGAAAGAAAAGATTTTAATACATTGTAAAAAATTAACGAACTGTTTGTTTGAGTGAAAATAACTTGATTTTTTTAAAATAAAATCTCGAGTTTGAGTTTTATTAATGGAAAGACACTATCCAACTTGATTTTAAATTAATTAGAATCTAATATAATTTTCAGATATCCAGAAGTTTAGCACCAAAAAACTTGTAAAAAAAAAATCATTAAAAGTATTTGAACAACTTTGCAAGTAATTTTATACATACTTATTTTCACTTTTCTCAATTGATAAAGTGTGTGTGTGTATATATATATATATATAGGTTTTTATTGGAAAGCTCAAAATGATTTTTTATTGAATAAAAATCTACTTATATACTACACTTATATAAAATATTTTAATTATTCATCTTTTTTATTTTTCATATTCGATATTTATTTACATTTATTAAATATAATTATTTTTTTCTAAAATGTTATAAAAAATCTCAACCACTAAAAGTGGAGAGATAAATAATTAAAATTTTATGTAAATATAATATTTAACACTCATGTGTAAGTGAATTCCTTTTTCTTTTTCTGTTTTTTTTTTTTTGCTATCATAACATGAAAATTGTTTATATTTTTTCACTTTTATATTTTGAGATTAGTATTTAATAGTTAGATCTTTAAAAAATTTGAAAGAAAAAGGACTCAAAAATAGTTTATTAAAATGAGTTTTGGAGTGTTTTTCTTCTTAAATTTTTAAACGTAAGTCTAATACACTTTTCTCTTGTTTGATAACCCACTTATATTTATTTTCTTAAATTTTTTATTTTACAAAATCTTCATAAATCATTGACATTATATGAAGACTTTCATATTGCTTTAAAAGAGTTTGACAACTACAGTATATTTGATTCCAGAGAAGTGGAGGAGAGGAGACACAAATCACTCTTCTTCTCTCATTTTGTTATGTTAAAATTATTCAGCAATTTTTTTAAAAAAAAAAACACCTTTCTTCCTTTCCCCTCCCCTTCCCTTTTCTCTAATTTTTGTTATAGGGAAATTTATCCCCCTGCCCAGTCCCCACTTCCTTTCCCCTCCTTTCAAACCAAACATGCTATTAATTTCATGATTGAACTTTAATAAAGACAGCAAGGAATGTGGAGTACGTAGTTAAGGAATCTTTGATTATATAGTTTGCAATGAAATAAATAAATAAAAAAAAACCCATTTTGATTAGTTCATGTAGTTAAAGAGTCATTGCGAATATATTAAGAATGTAAGTTTAAATCTTTCTAATGTCATTTAAATGTAAGTAATTCTCATTCTTACATCTTTAAAGTTGTACTAGTTCAAAAGAATTAGCATTTTTCTTATTGTTATTTTGGATGCACAATGAAAGTAATATTCTTCCATTATTTTATCCGATCACATTTTTACAATTCAAACTTAAGATTTCTTATTTTTATTGTAAAAGAACTACCACTAACCCATGTAAATCATTAGCCTCGTTTAGCTATTTTTTGAACTTAATGATATGTTTTTTTATTTTTTTAAACAACCTAATGAGAAGGTTGAATAACAAAACAAAAGAATACATGGAAATTAAAAAGTTGGTCCACAATTTTGAAGAGAACCTCTTCCACGGTCGATATGTTTTTTTTCTCTTTTAATAAGAGACATCAATCAATTATATTACCCAATGTAAAAATTATATTATCCAATGGAAAACCAAAATCATCAATGTTTTTTTTTCTTTTTTCTTTTTTGGATAAAATGTAAATCTTATTATCCAACATAACTATCTATACAATAAAGTAGCTAATAAGCTGCTACAAAGTAGGAGTAAATGTCAAAAAAATAAAAAAAATAAAACTGTACAAACAATACAAAGGTTAATGTTTCACAACTGTCTCAAGACCCCATTTGCATTCAATAGCCTTGGGTAGAAGAGAGGAGTTTGGCCGAGCAAAACCCAAAATCTTGCTCCTCACCTCAAATTGAATGTCTTGAACAATCATGCTTTCTACTCTAAAAAGCTGCTGGTGAAACCTTTTGTTTCTTTCCAACCATGTGTGGTAAACTGCTGCATTCCAAGCTAATTTAATTTCCAAATTTTGTAAAGACTCGCTTTTGAGTTTTTTACCCATCCATTGTAACAAAACTTGCCAAGAGTCAGCAAACGAGATACCAAGCATAGAGCTAAGCTGTTGCCATATTCGTCCTGTGTAGCTACACTTGAAAAAGAGGTGCTCATTTGTTTCTAGACCACATTGCAAAGGATGCAAGTATCAGAAATTGTGGGGTCCATTGCTTTTGCCTTGCCCTTGTGCTTAGTTGATTAAGCACAACTAGCCAAGTAATGAAGTTATGCTTAGGAATAGCTTGGGAAAACCAGACCAATCGATACCATATTTTCCTAACTTGTCTCCTTCGTAACCAATGCCAAGTCTATCCAATCTTGAAGTTACCAGACGTAGAAGGCACCCAAAATCATCAATGTTACAAGAGTTTTTTATTTTATAATCCAGACTACAAAACATAAATCATTGGATTGAGTAATGACTCTCAATATTAAGAGATTTACCTCATTCAATAATTTATATTATATAATCTAAATTATACAATATATTTTTAATGTTATAAAACCCAATCCAAAAAAATTAAGCATCATGGAAGCATCTAGGAGCAATTATAATCAAAATGCACATATTTGCTAATCCAATTTTGTTCCTTAATAGCTCAAGCAGTAAAAGTAAAGAGTCTTCTGTTAATACTTATAATAGATGGATAAAAGTTTTTTTTTTTTAAAAAAAAAAAAAAACTGTCATGTAGTCTAAATTACAAAACAAAAAATCCTTTGCTAAATAACATACCACATGGGCAATAATTTAATAGAAAGACTGATAATGTGAAAGGCGCTTAAAGAGTATATTTTGTTTGGAACCAAAAGGTGTTAATTTGCCAGGCTTGAGGGATGAAAAAGGTTTTAACAGAAAAACATTAAAAAAGAAGAAGAGAAACAGAGGTTAGCAGTGTTCCAATATATATTGTATTTAATTGTAAAATAAAAGTTATCAAAAATAAACTAAAAATATTTCTTTATTTAAATTATATAATTTAATACAAAATCATATTGTCCACTGTTTTAAAAATTTTAATTTTTTTTTCAATAATCTAAATAGTTCAGTGGACATCTTTTTCTATTAAAAATAAAAAATTTTAAATTTAAATCGTATGACATACGAGTGAGATGAGATAAAAAATAAAAAATAATTACAATCAAAATAAAAAAAATTTAATATTTTTTACCAATAACTTATTACTGTGTTTTTTAAAATAAAATTTTAAATTTAAATTTTATAATAAAAAATAAACACAACCAGTAGTTAGAATAAAAAAATTATTATTTTTTTCATATTTAAAAATTTATAGGTAACGTCAGCAACAAACTGTCCTTTCTTGCCTCGAATCAAATAAAGGATTATGATATTGCAGCAAAATAAACTAACGTACGGGCCAACCCCCAAATTCCTCCAAAATCCTTCTCTTTCCGTTGTCTCCCTCTGTGTCCTTCCTCCGGGGCCTGTCACCGGATATAACAGACGCTTCGGCAAACACACGCCCGGATTCTTATCTCCGGGAGATTCAAAGTTCATAGATGGCAGCAGAGAAGCCGTACGTGGAGCAGTGTAAAGGAGTCAATGGCCTTGACAAAGTCATCCTGAGGGAGGTTCGCGGCTGCTCGGCCGAGGTATTGTTTCTTTCTCAATGAATCCTCCGATCTTCTGCAACGATTTCGTATTTCCTATCCATTTTCTCTTCTCTTTTTTTGAATTTCATGTTGGAATTGGCGCGATCTTGTTATTTTAATTTAGCTCAGGTTTTGAATTCGATTCGTGTGCTTCTTAATTTTGTTTCTAATCGAGAATGTGCGTACTATCGTTTCCATTTTTCTATGATTGCTGGTTTCGCTCATATAGATCCGAGTGAGTAATCTGCATAGGCGTGATATTCTATGTGTCAATTTTTCTATGATTGCTATTTCAAAGGCGCGGCAAGCTGTTTCTTCCTAGTTCTTCAGCTAGAAGAATCCACTCTGTGGTGTTTTATTAGGTTTAGTAATAAATTTAGATTTGGTGGTCAAATTTCGGTTTCCCCTATTTCTGGTGTACG